AGGAATAAAATCCATGTTGTAATACAAGCCTGAACAGCATATTGATGCTGCTAGGAGTGTATTTTCTGCTTTTATTTTATTAAGATATATGAAATTGCTAGGTTAGTCACCGATTTCACAGAAAGCCAGTGAGCACTGGCTGGCTCCACATGGTATCCAGCCAAGGGCTCTTTATGGAGGTGATATCTCCCCTGCTCTCCAGCCACAGATATGCTCCAACTTCCACACATCTCTTTCACTATTTGTCAGCAAATTTACGACCTCTTCTTTCATCTCTGACTCCTGCTTTTATCCACACTTTAAGGCAGATTAGAGACAAACCCTCTGCACCAAAAAAAAAACCCCACCCTTCTCCCAAACGAACCAAAACATCACATCCCCCCACTACCACTCAGGGTGTTTACAAATTTGCTTTCTCTGAGCTAGTGCTCAGGTTTATCTCCCTCTTTGCTCTTTTGCCATGGTGAGGAGGTAACAGCCTCACTTTTGGGGAAAAACTGAGAGCAGGTACCTTTTTGATGCCATCCTTGCAACAACTACATAGGAGAGATCGGATTCCTCACAGATCTGGTCTGCTTTAGTTGTGCCCATCCATCCCACATTGTCAGGGCATCCAACAGCTTTCTCTGGTTATGTCTGCAACATGCATGGGGTGAGCAGCCTCAAGGCTCACACAGGCAGCATGGGAGGACGACTGGCAGGATGGCCGAACCGGAGACAACATGTACGTCACCAGTGGTAGCTGGGCTGGCACCTCCTGTGTCAGCTGGAGCCTCCAGCTGGTTTGGCCCCACTCTGAGCTCTCTGGTGCAGAGCTGTGACACATGGTACAGACATATCCTCTGGGTCTCTGCTGTTCCTCAGATTTATGCAACAAGTACTGCTCTTTCTGCCTGCCTGCCTCTGGTGTCTGCTCTCACAGAGGTTCTCCTGCCTTCCTCTCTCAAATACAGACATCTTTCACAAACCATACTGACATCCCTCCTTTGCACAAGGACTCAGAGGGGCATACTTTTGTTTATTTCATCGGGAAGTCTATTTACGTGCTGTATTCTTAAGCAAGGAAGGTGATTGTCTCATCCATCACCTTAGATTATCTCTCACCCCACTGCCCATGTTCTGCTCTTCCTCAGCTCTTTCTCACTATCTTCAGCTAGACCTTTTTGTACTATCTTCTCTAGCTCCTTCCCACAAGAGCTGATGAGCAAGTTGCTTTCTCCACACTGCAGAGCAGACGTATTTCACAGCAGACCTTGCTGCAGCCAGCAAAGGCTCTGGAGAGAGCCAGGTCTTAAGGTTTGCCCACAAGACCCAGTTTACTTTAAGAAAGCAGCCTTTAACAGCCAGCTGTGCTTGCCTTCCTGCAGCTGGCATAAACTGGACGAGTTTATACTGCTGTGCTATGTGTCCTGGCTAATTCATGAGAAATGTAATCATGTGAAAACACCTAGATTAAATCCTTACCATTGAGTGGTCTAGAACCAATTGTTGTGACAAGAAAACACGTAGCACTTACACTCATGTTTGTATGTCAGAAGCAGTTTTCTATGGAGAAGTAGATTTGGGGGAGATTTCTGAAAGAGTGTGGCCGAGGCCTTTCCCTGCAGAATTTTGGAAGCAGAATTCTGCTGGGAACTGATACAGCATTTCTGCCACGAGAAGGATTTTCTGAACATTTTTGTTATTGCAGGAAACAGGAAGAATCACAAGCACCTTAAGGAGCTTGAGGTGCAGCTTAACACTGCCTGCAGTGTTCTGGGGGAAACTTCACTGCTGGGGAAGGGAGAGCTTGTGCTAGCAGCCTAAACAGGATAATGGTCCCTTCCCAACCTCCTTACTGGAGTATCTGTTTACTATTAAAGTTCTTATGGTTGCAAATTTTGACTCAGATTTCTCATAAATAAATATCACAGAATCATCAAGGTTGGAAAAGACCTTGAAGATCATCCAGTCCAACCATTAACCTAACACTGACAGTTCCCAACTACACCATATCTTTAAATTCTATGTCGACCCAACTCTTAAACACCTCCAGGGATGGGGACTCCACCACCTCCCTGGGCAGCCCATTCCAACACCTAACAACCAATTCTGTAAGGAAATGCTTCCTAATATCCAGCCTAAACCTTCCCTGGTGCAACTTGAGGCCATTACCTCTTGTCTTATTGCTTGTTACTTGGTTAAAGAGACTCATCCCCAGCTCTCTGCACCCTCCTTTCAGGTAGCTTTAGAGGGCGATGAGGTCTCCCCTCAGCCTCCTCTTCTCCAGACTAAACACCTCCAGTTCCCTCAGCCGCTCCCCGTATGACCTGTGCTCCAGACCCTGCACCAGCTCCGTTGCCCTTCTCTGGACACGCTTGAGTCATTCAGTGTCCTTTTTGTAGTGAGGGGACCAAAACTGAACACAGGAATCGAGGGGCGGCCTCACCAGTGCCGAGTACAGGGGTCAGATCCCTTCCCTGTCCCTGCTGGCCACGCTATTGCTGACACAAGCCAGGATGCCATTGGCCTTCTTGGCCACCTGGGCACACTGCTGGCTCCTGTTCAGCCGGCTGTCAATCAACACCCCCAGGTCCTACTCTGACTGGCAGCTCTCCAGCCACTCCTCCCCAAGCCTGTAGCGCTGCTGGGGGTTGTTGTGGCCCAAGGGCAGCCCCCGGCATTTGCCCTTATTGAAACTCCCCCAGTTGGGCTCAGCCCATGGCTCCAGCCTGTCCAGGTCTCTCTGCAGAGCCTCCCTACCCTCGAGCAGATCAACACTCCCACCCAACTGGGTGTCAGCTCCAAACTGACTGAGGGTGCACTCAATCCCCTCATCTAGATCATCAATAAAGATGTTAAACAGGAGTGGCCCCAACATCCAGTCCTGGGGGACACCACTCGTGACCGGCCGCCAGCCAGATTTAACTCCATTCACCACAACTCTTTGGGTCTGGCCATCCAGAAAGTTTTTTACCCAGAGAAGCGTGTGCCCATCCAAGTCACAAGCAGCCAGTTTTGCCAGGAGAATGCTGTGGGAAATGGTGCCAAAGGCCTTACTGAAATCAAGGTAGACAACATCCACAGCCTTTCCCTCATCCAATAAGCAGGTCGCCTTGTCACAGGAGATCAGGTTTGTCAGGCAGGACCTGCCTTTCATAAACCCATGGTGACTGGGCCTGAGCATCTGGTTGTCCCACATGTGTTGTGTGATGGTACTCAGGATGAGCTGCTCCATCAGCTTCACAGGCACCAAAGTAAAAGCTGACAGGCCTGTGATTTCCCAGACCATCCTTCCCACCCTTCTTATATATGGTCATCACACTGGCCAATTTCCAATCTGTCGGGACCTCCCCGGTCAGCCAGGACTGCTGGTAAATGATGGAAAGTGGCCTGGAGAGCACCCCAGCCAGCTCCTTCAGCACCCTCGGGTGTATCCCATCCAGTCCCATAGACTTGTGTGTGTCTGTGTGATGCAGCAGGTCACTGACTGTCTCCTCATGGATTGTGGGAAGGTCATTCTCCCAGTCTCTGTCTTCTGGCTGAGGAGGCTGGATTCCCTTAGTACAACTGGTCTTGCTGTTAAAGACTGAGGTAAAGAAGGCATTGAGCACCTCAGCCTTTTCCTCATCACTCATTGCCATGTTTCCTCCTGTGTCTAGCAGGGGATGGAGGCTCTCCCTGGTCTTTCTTTTGCTGCTCACATACTTACAGAGACCTTTCTTGTTATCCTTGAGTGCCAAAGCCAGATTAATTTCCAGCTGGGCTTTAGACCTCCTGATTTCCTCCCTGCATAGCCTCACAGCATCTTTGTAATCACTGTGAGTGGTTAGACCCTTCTTCCAAAGGCCGTAAACTCTGCTTTTCTCCCTGAGTTGCAGCCAAAGCTCCTTGTTCAGCCAGGGAGGCCTTCTCTGTCATCTGCTTCTCTTACAGCACCTGGGGACAGCCAGCTCCTGTGCCATTAACACTTCTTTCTTAAAGAGTGCCCAGCCTTCCTGGACCCCTATACCCTTCAGGACTGTCTCCCAGGGGATTCTGTCAAGCAGGTGCATAAACAAGACAAAGTTAGCCCTTTGGAAGTCCAAAGGTAAAAGGAGGTCTTTAGCATAGAGTTAGAAGTGTGGGAACAGCTGAGTTTGTGAAGCTGTGGCCCTGCTGTAATGTGGATCCCTCCTGTCAGAAATCATGGTCTATGTTTAAGGGCACCAACCATTTGCTGTGTTAAGAGCTACTCTAACACTGGGAACTGTCTCCAGAGAGAACAAGATTCTTGAAAGAAATCCTCAAGTTTTCAACAAATTCTCTCTGTGATTGTTGGATCCCAAGACATGCCCATGCTGCATTTATTACAGTTCAGGAACATGGAAAAGGAGACAAAAGCAAGTGATCACTACAGTTGTAGATTTCGTAGTCTAGGACTATTGGCTAATTTGTACCCATTGGTCATATAGTATTTTGTATAATATTATTAGTATTTTATGTATTAGCTATTGTATTAATGGATAGTTATGCATTATATTAGTAAAATAACAGTCTCTCCTTAGAGCCATTTCCATAAACTGGAGTTTACTATGATCTTGGGTGCTCATTCCACAGCCAGAAATAACTGAAGTACAAAATAGATCTAGGTATCCCCAACCTTTGATTAGCTGTGTTCCCTATGCATTCTCCTGACAAACATACATCACCTTCCCCAGAATAAGGCCATGTGAATTAAGCTGACTATCCAATTATTCCTTTTTTTTCCCCACCATAGGTTTGAAAAAACCCTACAGTGTATTCTGTCCAGAATATGGTCCCATTGAGAACATTTCCAAATATTATCTCCATCTGAGGTGAAAAACAACATTCAGGATGATTTCCACAATGCTATTTTGAACACACATTGTTTATGGTAATACTCATTAACTACTATTGAAAACTGTATATGAAGAATACATATAAAGAGTTACAAATGCTACATAGGAAAAGATCAGTCATCAGGTGCATCAACATTTTAATGGTTAATTTTTTTTTTTACATTAAAATCAAAGATCAATATCTGGGAGCCAAGGATAAGTTGTCAGTGTTTTCTGACCTTTCTAGTAAATTGTAATGTTGAGTTCCTGAGTAAGTGGGGCAGAAATCCATAAAATGAGTTTCTGAGGAAAAAAAAAAGACACAAAAATAATGAACTTAATTAACTTCAATTAACTTAAAGACTAGCTCAAAACAGAGAATAAGAACAGAAACTTGAGTTTAAACCTTCATAATTTCCCTAAACTCATGTGATAAGCAAGACTGCCTTGATGGCAGTATGGATCTTTCTACTGCTGTATCCAATTCACCATCCCTCTTAAATGCAAGAGCAGTTTAAAAATCAATTAATAGCAGTAATTAAATATGAAATTATAAATATAATACCTGTCTGTTTTGCCAATTATTAGGCCTAGCATAAAGGACACAGCCAGCATAAAGATGAACCAATAACCAAATTGTATTTGATACAAAAGGGTCAGTAAAATGGGTGAGCACTGGGGGTACAAACCAGTCAGATGATACATAATTGACATCAATCCCACTGACCCCCAACAACAACACCACACAACCAACAATGGATGGAATAAATGGTGAAATGCAGTTTCCCATAGAAGGGACAGGAGACAACCAAGTCAACAAACCAAACACATCAGACCAAGGAAGCCACACACTGAATCTTCACACAGCCCACGTTTACAAAAGCCAGACCTGACTGGAGCCCAGTCCCAGGGAGGCAGGAGCTCCTTCCCCAACAGGGAACTCTGCACAGGGCATCCACCTCACAGACAGACACTGCCCCTCCTGCCAGTGGTCCCAGCTTTTATCCCCAAGTGGGACACCTGACCTTTGCTTCCTTAATGCAGACACCTGGGGCTCCTTTACCTCATGGCTCTCCCTGCCAGGCTGGCCGCTCCCTGGAGGGAAGCCTAAAGGCAAACTCACCCCCCCTTTGGGAAGGGCTGTGGGAATCACCCATATGTCAACCTTAATCTGGGGCTTGGGGTTGAAACCCCAGCATTTCATTGTCCTGCTCTCTCTCTATTTAATGTTAAATTTGACATATTTTATTCTACTTGTGTGTTTTCCATTTTCTGTACTTCATCAGCAGTATCTTTAGTTTCAGAATTAATAATCTCTTAAAATGCATGATACCCATTCACACCTCTTGGATATTTCAAATACAGGGTCAGATCCAGACAAAAATACTGCAATCCCATCCAAACACTAGCCCAAAAGTGCCAGTAGCCAGAAAAGCCTCTCCAGACTGCACTACTGCATGGACATTGGAAACTAAGGACATTGGGAACTCCCTGCACTTCCCAGCAGAGGATGCAAGTGGAAGAAAAAGGAGAACCTTTCCATGCTCAGGTCATTTTGTTGTCAGCACAAGCCTGTGCTCTTCCAACATCCCTGCTGCAGTTACAATACAGTTCCTGTGGCTCTTAGGGTATGATACTTCAGGGGGAAAAAGGGATAAGCGACTCCTAATAATAGGAAGATTCTGCAATATTACAAATGTCAGATCAGGGTAGCGCTGCATGAATCAGAGAGAAAAAAAGTGGCTTATTACTAAGCAAACTGCTTCTATTTCTATACAAATAACTATGGCTCAGTTATGCACTTAAGCATTGCTTTTAGTCAAATTTGCTTTCTGTAAAGCAAAAGCAATATGGTAGAAGTTACATTCTACTACATCCCTTCAAATAGTACAGTCTTTGTGCTTGTTAAACTATTATACAGTATGTAATCTCATTAAGCCTGTGAGAAAGTGGCAAATTTGCCCTTTAGATTTTGGGGTTTTTTTTAATTACATGGATTGTAAGTTTTTAAGATCTAAACCCAAGTTGCTAGGGCACTTTTTTTTTTTTCCTTTGCTTTTTTTTTTTTTTTTTTTTTTTTTTTCTCCCAAGAGTCAAACATGAGAGGTTTATAGGTAATAGCATTACAATACCAGTACAGGGATGGTGGGAGAGGTTTGACTGAATCTTTTTGAATTGTGTGAGGAATATATTTAGCAGGTTTAAACAATATAATTTTTGTGCAGTTTTGAACCTTCCCTACTACACATCTTGGTGTTTTTTCCTACATTATTTGAAGTACTTCTAAGTCACTGAGATCATCTTTTGCACATCAAATTTTAAAATACTTTTGTGACAAGCTTTTTAGTCTTTCTTAATCATCTTTTTATGTGATGCTGTTAGTATGCAGTTATATTCTGGATTTCTGTGATTGGTGCCTTCAAGCACATCTCAATGGAATGTTTTCTTTACCCTGCCACATTTATGTTTCTTTCAGCTTGCTTAGAGGCAGTTTGGCTGTTAAACAATTTCTTCCCTTGAGGCAATACTGATTACCCTTATTTATGACACCGTCTCTGAAAGTGAGTTTTTTACAATTCTCCAAGGCAAAAATTTATTGTCAGCAATTTTCTTCCTTTACAGATTCCTTCAATAAAATAAATGTTAGAACCAGGTGTGTATAATGAGGATCACAATTTGGTTACAAATAAACTTAAATCATTAAGCCAAGCAGATAGAGTAACATAAGATGTGACATCCATTACTTGTTGCCTTAGCTATCTTTGACTGAACGATGATTAGTGGCATCTTAGTGTTAGTACTGCGAGTGCCCTAGGTGCAGCCCAGTGTTGAGACCTGAGTACCACATCTCATACAAAGTGTGCATGACTCACTTCAGCTTGGTGCCTGGTGACAGATACAGGACAAGTGACCAGAGCAAAGGAAGTCTACTCAGTATTGCTCCTTTTGTCTATTCTCCCGTGGAAACAGAAATTTGGACCACAAGAGGCTTTTGCAGCTGTTTATTAGGGATGTTCAGTCTGTCTCCTCTGGAGTGTCTCCTTGTTGGTGCTAAAGGAGCACTGCACAACAAAGTCATGCATTTTGATCTGGGACACTGAGGTTGGGCACTTTAAAATGCTGAAACTGTTAACTGTTGTCTCACTGTAGTGATAGTTTCCTGAGGAACACACAGGTACAGCAGAGATTTGCCCTTCCCTCCTCTGAAGATAGGGAAACACTCATTAGAGCCAGCTATGCTGTAATCATGTTCAGACACTAAGTAATTGTGAGAAAAGCTCTCCACCACTTCTTTTCAGGAGCTGATAAATAACTTTGACAAGTTTTCTCATTTTATCAGAATGATAATAGTGCCCATAAAACTGCCAACATATCTCCCATTTGAGCTGTATCTTCTTTTCATTATTTCATTAGCTTAAAAACTTGTATGGCATTAAGTAAAAGAGATTATATGTATATTAGCAAAGGTTAAATTTTCCTAAAACAGCTCTTGATTTTGCTTCCACCTCCCCCCCCCCCAAAAAAAAAAACCAAAACCCTCAGACTATTGTATCAAAAATTGGTGCCTGGTTATACTTGGAAATGTAAAGAGGTGTGGATGAGAAACTTCCTGTTATTCACTGACTATCCCCCTCTCCCTAAGGTTTTCCATAACTGCTCAGTGCAGCTCTTACCCCACTCAGCTCATAAGAGAAGGCATCTCCATGGATGGCTCTTCCATTCAGAGCAACAGCATGAGGTCTCAGTTTCAGGCCAAGAATCGTAATTTTGTTGTACTTCAGAGTGTCAGCCCCTCGGTACCCATTTTTAAGTATTTCTGTCTTCAGATTTCCCTGGAAAAAGCCACAAAGATTTTAGGACCATGACAACTCTTTAAAGGTGACTTACTGCATACTGTTACTGTTGTCAATGAACATATAGAATGTCTTCCAGTGTAGATGTTAAAGTCTGAGGTCATAAAGGAAAAACAACAGCCACATTAGTTTTCACATAAGAAAGGTTTCATGTATGAGTAAAAACTAACAAAGAAAGAAACAAAATAGCATTTATAACATTCATTTAGAATCTTCTTGAACATGTTTTTTCTACATGTAATCAATGCAAATTTGTTTCTTGTACCCATTTACAGGGTACAGTGGCATATGCAAAGCCAAAATCCAGATACAAAGATTCAATTAGTGACCTTAAGGCAGATCTAATTAACATCCACAACTAACTGCTTTAAACTGTTAGCATCTTCCACAAACATCATCTGCGTAGATGTTTTGCCCCTATTTTGTGTCCCCCATCTCCACAGCTCCTGCAAAAACTCTCAGTTATATATGTCTCAGCTTTAAGGACACTGAAGGAACACCATATGTCCACAGAGCTTTGTTTGTTTTACTTCTTATTTACTATATATCCTGTATTTAGGGATGTACCAAGAGGACATACAATGTCATTAAACAAATTCATTTGGATCACCAGTGACAGTAATTTCCCATACAAGTAATGAAGAGGAATCATTGCATTTGTTAGGTGATCAAAGTTGTTAAGGAAATAAAGATGAATTACACTGCTCAGGAAATGATGAATTGCTATGCAATCATGACTTTTTAAAAATATGCCAAGAAGAAACCCATGATGAAACCTTTTGCATAAATCAGCTTATGTTATTTCAATGGTGCATGGTAGGAGGGGAGCAGAAGCTAGATCACAGTATTTGTAACTTAGGGCTGTGCTTAGACTGCTTATTTCAGGCATCCACACTAAAAATAAGTGCTAATCCCCAGCACACTGATTTAAACTGCCTAAATAAGGAATGTTGTCTGTTATGGAGCAAATGGGGAGAGGCTTCTAAAAGCCTCTGGGTAATTTCTTAGGGTACTTAAATGTAGTGTCTTTTTCCTGTGCCAGGTGCACCTTCCCAGTGAAAACAGGACTTCTTGTCACCTATTGATTGCCTTTTTCCGTGCCATTGTTCGCAGGGCTTCACAGTAGTTGGGGCCTTTGGTCAATGGTAGCCTCTGTTGATCATAGATCAGATCACTTGGGAGAGCCATTTTGAGCTAGTTCCCCCTTGGAGCAGTAAACGGAGGTCAAGGACTCTCTCCTTGGGTCGGGATGCTGCCCTGAGGAGCTCCTCGAGGTTGAAAGTCCTCATTTGTTAGGTGATTTGTTAACGATAGAGCATTTTGTGTTGTTGTTAAACTCTAGGAAGTGGTGTTTTGTGCTCCTGTCACGGGCATTCAAACCTGTGGATGGTTGCAGAGGGCTAGTTAATTGCATTGGTAATATTTTTTTTTATTTTTGGCTGCTGTTTGTGTATTTGAGAACCTCCATAACACTCCCCATTGGAAGAGCTCCAGCATAGAAGGAGGGTCAGTATAGAGAGACCACCTCCCTACAATGATTTATTATGTCTAAAGTGTGGCTAAGCAGGAGAACTAGCTCAAGGTGGCCACACAGACTCAGTAAGTTCAGTCATTATAACTGTATTAATAAATAAGGTTGCATGGAAGCTCTGAGGCCCTGAGCCAGGACTCTGCAGTAGACGCCATTGTCCTTCTGACCAAGAAGAAGGTTTTGGGGAACCAGGGAAGTGATGGCCCAGGGTAATGAATGGTCCTCTCCAATCATCTAGTAGTTAAAGAAATTGCCCAGGCAGGTCATGAGTTCTTGTCAGAGAGAGGGAACTTATGGGCATCACTCAAAGCCCTATAAATGCAAAGTCAAAAGAAGTCCTGGCTCTGAGACCAAAAGCCAGGACTTCCTCCTGTACTTCTGAGCAGCAAAGTCATGCTTTTTCTTTCTTACTGTCTTGCTCTGGTCCAATGAAATTCACCTTTCTTTTTCCCCATATTTTCCCTCTGAAAATTGGACCAGTTTTAGGAGGAATTTGGTTTCAGGCTATTCAGTTACCTAGTGGCTAGCATATCCTTTCAGAAGCTCCTCTTTCCCTGGTCAAGCCTTCCCATCACCATCCCTGTAGTGTAGTCTGGACTCACTTGGTACAGTCTGAGCACATCTGCCACCTCTAGTGTGGAAAACCAGTTTATGCCTCTCCCCAATCATCCCTGCAGTGGATCTTACACATCTGGCTCACGTATTTTTCTAGATGGGTAGACTTAATATATGGGGACACTTTGACTTGGGGCACTTTGAATTAGGTCACTTTATCCATTATGCATGTCAAAATGGAGGTGTCAAGTGAATTAAAATGCCAACTGCAGTGAGATAGTATCAGAGAGCAGGCAGCTTGTATCATTCTTTGAGACTTAAGTCTGCACTAGTCTTGAATTCTTTGTACTTCTGGGTTGTTTAAATGAAAATATAAATGAGAAGGTCTAATCCTGTAGCTGTTACGTGCGCAACACTGTGCTGTGTTCAGAGTAAATGCTGTGATGTCAGACTTTACCAGTAAATCTCTTAGGGAACAGAACTTGTGAGTTCTCCTAAAACTAGGTGTGATTAAATTATTCATCCACAATTTTTTAAGAATATAGAAATGTGCAAAAAATACCAAGACTTTCATACATTTCTCATACCTCTACAATTTGCTATTTGAGATGGATTGTTTTCTTTATAAACACATAATAAAAAATTGACATTAGAGATTATTGGAATGCAGATAGGGACTTCAGTCATGGATTTACAGGCAGAAGACAAATATGAGCAATGAGAAATGGAAATGCCAGTGAATCAGCAATCTAATTTGCACAGATCAGAATTTAATATAAAACTGGATATTGTTTTTCTGTAGCCTTCCTACAGTAAATTACTATACACAGACTACAAGAAAGCCAAAGTGATTTTTCTTCCTTTTTGCTGTTGGAATACCCTTTTTTTGAAGATGAAGAAAAATTTTTTTTCTCGGTATTTTTTTTCTTTTTTCCCTCAGCATAAGAAAGACATGGACCTGCTTGAGTGAGTCCAGAGGATGGCCACAAAGATGATCAGGGAGCTGGAACACCTCCCCTCTGCAGAAAATCTGAGAGAGTTGGGGTTGTTCAGCCTGGAGAAAAGGCTCCAGGGAGACCTTATAGCAGCCTTCCAGTACTTAAAGGGGGCTACAGGAAGGATGGGGAGGGACTCTATCAGGGAGTGTAGGGATGGGACAAGGAGTAATGGTTCTAAACTGAGAGAGGGAAGACTTTGATTAAATATGAGGAAGAAATTCGTCACTGTGAGGGTGGTGAGACACTCACAGGTTGCCCAGAGAAGCTGTGGCTGCCCCCTCCCTGGCAGTGTTCAATGTCAGGTTGGATGGGTTGCAACTTAAGCAAACTGGTCTAGTGGAAGGTGTCCCTGCCCATGGCAGGGGGGTTGGAACTAGATGGTCTTTAAGGCCCCTTTCAACCCAAACCACTCTATGATTCTAAATCAAGAAAATAAATTAAAGATTGAATTTAAAGTCTAAACATGTGGCATTAGTTCCAGAAAATATCTCACAACTATACAAGACAACGTAATAAAACCCATTGGCTTACGCTGGCTTGCTCTTGCTCCTAGAAGACATACATTCTAAGAGCAATATCACAATAGGGGTTAACATGATTTTATTTCTGTAGACTACTTTGGGGCTTTTAGACATACACATCATGAAAACCATAGAATCATAGAATCATTCAGGTTGGAAAAGACCTTTAAGATCATCAAGTCCAACCATAAACCTAACACCTCAAGTCCACCACTAAACCATGTCCCTAAGCACCACATCTACATGTCTTTTAAATACCTCCAGGGATGGTGACACAACCACTTCCCTGGGAAGCCTGTTCCAATGCTTGATAACCGTTTTGGTGAAGAATTTTTTCCCAATATCCAATCTAAACCTCCCCTGGCCCAATTTGAGGCCATTTCCTTTCATCCTATAACTTGTTACTTGGGAGAAGAGACCAACAACCACCTCACTACAACCTCCTTTCAGGTAGGTGTAGAGAGAGATAAGGTCTCCCCTCAGCCTCCTTTTTTCCAGACTAAACAACCCCAGTTCCTTCAACTGCTTCTCATAAGACTTGTGCTCCAGAGCCTTCACCATCTCCATTGCTCTTAGGACACACTCCAGCACCTCAATGACTTTCTTGTAGTGAGGGGCCCAAAACTGAACACAGTATTCTAGGGTGGCCTCACCAGTCTCAAGTACATGGGGACAATCACTTCTGTAGTCCTGCTGGCCACACTATTTCTGATACAAGCCAGGATACTGTTGGCCTTCTTGGCCACCTGAGCACACTGCTGGCTCATATTCAGCCAGCTGTTGACCAAAACCATGCCACAGTCTACATGCAGTATCCTATTTCCTATCAAATGCTAGAATTGTAGATGAAATATGAACTGTATAGATTATTGAAGTAGGTTAAGGTTTTGTACAGTAATTCCCACAGCTTACTGTCATACATTTAATGAGCTTCTAGCAGATTTATTCTATAGTTTTTTAATCAGTTGAAGCCTAGAATGTTGGATTTTTTTACTGAGCTTTCTCAGGACATATCTGCACAGAAATGAGCACTGTATGAAAGGTATTAGTGCTCTGACCCTGAGCTAATCTACTCCTGTGCCGCATGGAGCATCTGATCAGCATGGTGGGTCTCTGGTAGTGTGCTGAGTCACTCTGCAGGAGATCAACCATGGGAGCAATCTCTGTGCTGTCAGACAAGGAAATGCAAGCTAAAGTAGTGAGACTTAATAATTCTCTGGGCCACAAAATAAAAACTTCAAGTGATCAAAGCTTAAAAGTTGCTGGGATATCCTGAAGAGAGTAATGTAGCCTTCTCCCACCCATCAAACCGAAAGTGTTCACAGGAGGAAGACAAAGAAAAGGTCCCTCATCCTCAGAAGATGCGACTTGGGAAAAAAGAAAAAATCTGAGCTGAAAAAGTGGATTTTCAGATTCACATCACAGCAGGGACATTAATGTGTCACTATGATACTCAATGAAGCAAACACAAAACAGCAACATCATAGTCTTATTATTTTGTAGCTGTCTGTAAATGAAATTATTAGGTAGCTTACCAGGTTTAAAGGCTGAGCTATAAGAAAACGGTTTCCAAAGAAAACTTAGATATCAGCACCTTACAATGGCTACACTAAAATACAGCTACCTGTATGTATGTAGGGACCTTGTATGTTGCTACTTACTTTGCTGTACGTATATTTAGCCAAGAAGTAGTTATTCTTTTCAATAGTATCTGCCAAAACACAGAGCAAGAAAGATTGGTATCAAAACAGGGAGCAAAATCCATAAGCAGTTCACATGAATTGTAGCAAGTGGTTAATGGTTAATGTCAGACTACATGTTTTGTGGGCTGTTTAATCTCTTCCTCTATTCTTAAGGTTCTCTCAGCAGAACATGGTATGAGGGATTGCCCTCCTACCAGACCAGCTGTTCCCAGTGTCACACCTTTCTCATATCAAAATGCTGACTTCCAGAGAAATCGGCTTTTCATCTCTGTCATGTTCAACTCAGGGTCAGTTCTCCAGCTATTTCTAGCAGCAGTTAGTGCCATGATATTGCTGAAACGGTGTCCTGAGACCTGTATACAGTCACTTCTTTCACAGCAGGGGATCAGGCTTACCTATTGAATCACCATCATCCCAGAAGAGAGAGCCAGAAGCTTCTCCTTGTTCATCCAGGGCAATAATGAGCCCAAATGGGTTCAGACGGCTGTTGATAAACATTGAGAAGTGTCAGTACAAATCTGTGGGCACTGTCCCTTCCAAGTTATTTAATAAAGACTTCTGAACAAAATTAACTCCGATTTTAAGATTACAAAAAAGTCCGTGACAGAAGAATGACAATGAAGCTCATCAAAATGGCTCCTGAAATGATGACAAAAACTTTGACTTGCCTTGTCCCACTGAAGTGTAAATGTCCCACTTTTTGAGTGCTCATGTGGACAAGTTTCCCCTTCTTTTGTGGCCTTAATGTATGAAAACTTGACAGTCTGGGAAGCTACTGGTCACCAGTACTACCTTACTACAGTTTGAATTGGTTGTTGCACAGTGCTGTTCCCTTCCTTCCCTACCCACACTGGTTTCTGAGCATGGTTCAGACTTGAGACCAGCATATTACCCATTGGCATAAGGAAATAATTTTCCTCAAGAGATTTGAGCTTTTCTACCTTGCCCATGGCATCTGATAAATTCATCCAAGGAGAAGAGTTTTGTATTTTTCCCTTGCATGTGTTTACTTTGAGTGACTGACAGCAGGTCAGTGTGGCAATAAGAGATGCAAAAGCTTTTCTGAGCATAAACACAGAGCCAGAAGTAGGCTTCAGCTATGCAAACGATGATGTGGGTCAATTCTGGGGTGACTTCTAATGCAATGAAGTGAATAGTGGGATAAAAATACTATGCTTATCACTTGGGATGGCAGGTGGGAGCTGCAGATAGCCACTCTTCTGCATTTTCTTTCATTTGCTTTTTTGCCTGTCTTGTGGGTCTGACCCACACTGTGGTTATTTGGTGATGGACAATGGACATAGATGTCATTACCTCTTAGTGGTGGTCGTGGCTGGTGCCTGTTCTGGCAGGATGTAGCCTCCACGGATGAACAGAGGGATCTTGCTCAGTGGGGCAGCCACAGTAGCATAGTTCTTTTTCCAGGTACTTGGCACTTTATGGCCCTATCGCAAAAATTAATGCAGTTAAAAAACCAAATCCAGGCACTATGCATTATGACCATATACTGGTCAAAAAGAGTCCAAGGGGTACATTTTCATCTCAATTACATCAGTGGAAATACAAACAACAAGGAGGATTTCAGGGGTATTATTCCAGTTTCTTTTTTAACATGAAAGAGGATCTAGCCCCTGCAGTTATGCATATGCATGAGATAGAAACATCATGAATGAAAGACAGCAAATCGTCTTTAAAAGTGGTATCATTATTCCATATGCTGTAGAAAAAAAAACATTCATCAAGACACTGAGCAAAAAGAAACTTTTACTTCCTCTTTTTATGCATATGGAGCCTGTCACATTTCAGTTTAAGGTAAATGATTCATAATCATTTGGGAATGTAAACTGTAGATTTTCTTCTCTTTTAAGGAGAACTCTTCTTCCCCTTTCAAAAAGTAATTACAGCATTCAATGAGTGAAACTCGTGTACATGTAGACAACCAGCATTATGTTCTCTGTATCATTCCTTTCTGGTTTAATGCCTCAAAACCAGGTGCACACAAGGCTTATGTACAGAGTAGATAACAGGAAGGCTTTGCTCTCACCCTCTGTAAATGGTAATTATAACTTATGGTAAGTACGCAACCTTGATTTGCATAAGCACCATGTGTATGGCTAGTATGTGCCAAATGCTGGCAGCTGAGCACCAGGGCTGCTGCCGTCCCCATGCCCAGCCCAGCTAGAGGGGCTGAGGGAACCACAACAAGGAGAGCTGAATGAAATGCTCGACCCTGCAGTGCCTCTTTCATGCAAAGAGGAAAGGGAAAAGGTTGGGTAAACATCCATCTGAAGACACCAGGCAAATGCTGAAAATGACCAAGCTTCTTAAAAATAAGTCTGAATTTCCTCTGATAGCATTTCTGTCTGGCCCACTCCTCTGCCAGCATCATTCAGGGTAGTTAACAACAGCCTGATGCTTCTGGGCTCACATTTCTGAAAGGTCTTAGCATCAGCCTAACTACTGCTGAAGCCAACATTGGTCTTAGCCTGTAGATTGCAGCAGACCGTGGTTAGGTTGAAACAGCACTCTTGGAAATGCAGTACTGGGGATGGTGTTCGAAAGGTCAAAACTTGTAGTCCCTGAAACTAGAAGAGGCTGGCATTTTTCACAGTGAAGATTGTTCTGCATCTCTTGGAAACGTCTTTCAGAGGGGAGCCTTACCCTGCTGTGTAAATATGCCTTCTGTCAAAATTGATGCATGTGCAAAACTGCATGCACAAAATGGTTTGCAGCATGTTCTCAGGAGTACAACTCAGGTTTCTGTCTCTGTTTCTATGCAGAGAAGCATGTCAGTACAAGAATTAAAACATGCAATGGGGGAGAAAGAAATCTTGGCAGTTTCATTTATTTCTAGGCTGTTCCTGAAAATTCAGTTCTCTGTGTCTTAGAGCTTTACAAACCAAAAATAGAAAATAAAATGCTACTGAAAGCTGTGTAATTTACTCTCCCAGCTAGCCTGGTATAGACATTTTGTGTTCTAGTTTTCTTAAACACAGATGCCGAGGTAAAAATACTGCTGAACATTGCTAAAAGTTATTTTGCTGAAATTGTACCATTTTAAATTATGTAAAAAATGTAAGAAACTGAATCTTAAAAATACATACGGTATAGTAGTCAAACCATGGTGCTTCAGGGAAGTATACATCCACAGATCTTGCTCCCTGTAATTGTTGTAAAGAGATTTAAGTATTTTTTCTTTTTGCATTTCTAATATTACATTAGCTTTATTATATTTCTGCATGGAAAGATGTATGCTGAATATTCTTATAACATCAGATCTTGGCTATTATCATAGCGGTGGACTAATGCTGGCTAATCTGTAACACTAAACAGATGAGCCTATCCTATTTGGTGGGTTTACTGCCATTGCATGGGATGAGTCAATGTTATGTGATTATTTCTAGTAAATAGCTTATGTCTTGCAAATATAACTGGCCTAGGTGCATTCCTCTAACATCTGAGCAATCCCAGTGGGCCTCAGGGCAGCATTTGCAAGACATCTGATGATGGAGTGGGGGACACCACAGGTCAGAGCCTCCTGAACTATTCCTGATGTACAAACAGGCGGAGAGTAAGGTCTGGCAAGGAGGATACACAGATACTTGTCTTCTTGGCAACAGATTAAAGTTGCAGATAAATAATAATAAATAATATGCTGTAATTGTACAATTGGTGTACTTCATTTTGCAGCATGCATTGTATCCTATTGCTGCAGGGATGAAATCACACTAAAGGCACTTTGAATTAATAACTCCAGGAAATGTTGGAATCAAAACACACTTCCTTTTTTGTCGTGAGTTGATTATTCTCATAAACAGCTTAATTTTGATTCTCAACATAGATGTCTTCCCCTTTGTAGAATTATGGTTTACCCCTAAAGGTTTTACCCCAAGGGTCACCCCAGAAAGGAGGTGGAACAGGAGAAGTAAAGGTGGAGGAGTTAAGGCAAAGTTACCATTTGACATTTTAGGGATTTTATATATATTACATACCTATATAACAATAGGAGTAAGAAATAAGTGATTTATTAAAGAATGCAAATCTCACATTAGAATACAGGAATTGCTAAAGTGGAAGTTTGTCTTGTCCTGTGGCCTGTCTCCCACAGTGGGCAGTGCTAGGTGTTTCAGGCTAAGTGTTCTAGTGCTACAGTCAGGAAGGTTGGGGTAGTTTGCTGTCACTTACTAGCTGTTTAACAAATGTTTAATCTATAAAGCACCTTGAAAACTTGAAGGAAAACCCCTGTAAAGTGAAGATACCCCTCTCTCCATATTTTTTCTTCATTATTATGACAAACCTGGATATTCTGGTCTGCAGAGAAGTGTGTAACCACCACCTGAATCATGATAAACCTTGCCTTTATGACGCCCTAAATAACAAGCCAGTGTGTAAGGCAGTCCCCTGTTTTCATTTTGATGGATATTTCACTTCCTCACACCCTAGGACTCAAGCAGTGAACGGAAATCTGTCCCTGATCCATCTTCTCTAGACAAGTGGATGCCGTGGTGCAGTTTGGCATTCTGGCTTCCAATACCATGATGAGGGGCTTAGAGCTCGCCTCTGCCCCCTGTCCTGCCATCATAAGCCTTGGCTGCCACACTCTCTCCCACTGCAAGACCCAGCAATGTGTTGCCTCCAAAGTTCTGCTTCCCCCATCAGGCCACAGGCACCTGTCCTTCCTTTTGTGCTGCAGTCCCCCAAAACCCACTAAGAACCCCTCATCTAGCCCCCTCTATCATTTTATATATCCTTATAATGTTCCCTTTCATTCACTTCTTTGCAGGAAGCCACCCCTGGCGTGTCACCCTCTCTTTGTGGGAAGGTGTCTCTCACATCTTTTATCATCTTGCTGCTCTGTGAGACCCTGTGAAATCTCCTTGTTAGTCATCAGCTATTAGAAGCCTGGGGGACTTTGAAGACGAAGGACTGACAAATGAAGCACCTCAGTGGAGTCAGAATGGTTTTAGATGCAGGAATAAGAATTTCATTTTAATTCACAGAGGCACAAAGGCTTGTTAAAAAAAAAAAAAAAAAAAAAAAAAAAAAAAAAAAAAAAAAAAAAAAAAAAGTGACTAAGAGTGGCCTGTTTATATGTTTGATCATCAGCCATGTGTAGAAAATGTATCAGATATTCTGGCAGCATGCTGATCACAAAGAGCTCTAGGATACATCACATGCCAATATTTAGTGCTCTCAGACATACGTTCCTGGTGCTGTCAGCAGTCAGCGGTGGGGCAAGGAAAGAAACCTACCCTTGCTCCAGCCAAGCAGTGAGAGTCTTCACCCCAGCACCATGCCCAGCACAGCCATACAAAAATGCTGCTTTTTAAAACCTGTCATATTGGCAGCTAATGTTGTCATTACTGTTTCCATAATGACTGCATTTGCCTGTGATGCTGGGAAACTCCTGTCACAGCCCTAGAGATGCTGCAGCTCCAAAACACTGTGGGTATGTGGTAATATGGAAACGAGTTTGAATTAATATCTGTGTGCTACTTCCCAGCTCGACAACTACTGCTCTGTGTGTGTCCTTGGAGGGAGCTGTCAGCACAATAACAGGAGCACACAAGGAGAAGCATCCAGCCTGTTTACATCCATTCGGCTCTTGGAGAAGCAGAGAAATGCTGTGCCCTTACTTTCATCCTCCCACTTCAAGCACTGGGCAGCTCTGTACTGTCTGTGCTGCTCAGAAATGCAAGCTTTGACAGTGGAGGGAAGAAATGGGTGGATATGAGCAAACATGCCCTGAATGTCATCTAGTGCCCTAAGCGCAGTTCATTTCTTTTATTCCAGTATGATGGCATTTGTTAATTACAGTACTTGCCTCTTGAAGAACAGGAGCAATCATAAAAGCAGGTCCCCAAAGGAAGGCAGTATCTATTCCATGAGTCTGCTGATCGGAGGTAAATCTAGTGTTGAAAGTGAGATACTCAGTGCTAATTCATATTTTTATAGAACTTGCAGAATATTTTTATATTAGTCACTGCAACAAGAAATGTGCTTCCTCAAGGCATCCTTTAACACTGCAAAATATTTTTCCTGGTTGAGGGAATGCCAAAAGCTGTACAGAGGTTCAGAAATTACAGTAGCACGTGCCATACTGGAGTGCACCAGAACCCTCATAAAATGCTGGAGCTGATTTCTTTTCAGAAGAGCATCAGTGGGAAAGCAACTAACTAACCAATTTTTTTCCAGTGGGTTGAGACTTCATTAAGAGCCAAAGAGCAGGATAGGGGCCAGGACCAGGAGAGGGAACACAGAGGAATACACTGTACTCTAGGATCTAAAGCATTTGTGAAAATCCTTGGATTTGGCTTCCCTCACCTTTCACAGATTTACATTTGAAATCTTTTGCAGGACAAACACAAAGCGATGTTCATACAGATTGCACTTTTTAGCTGCCTTTCCTGGATGGATTAAAATTTATGGAATTTAGTCCATTTTATTCAACGAATTAACATTGTTTTAGATTCCGATCTAAATGTCCATCTAATAAGATGGTCTCCAGAGTGCTCACAGTCCTGTTTGCCTGACATCATCTGCCAGCTTGGGAAGAGATCTCTATTCCACCATACATCAGCTAATGAAGATATTGAATAGCACCTGGCAAAGAGGAGAAATCCTCCCCATCTCAGGAACTTTCACCCATCTGGCATAAAATCCTCAAGAATTTAAACAGGCTTTTAATCATTTGCAAGTTTATCTCTGAGGAAATTCATAATGGATCCTTGTTCCCTATTAAGCTCATAAGAATGTCATGTGAAGTGCATCTCAAGCCCTTCTAGAATTAAGGTACCTTCTACCTACTGCTTTCTCCTGCTCCTCTGCCACTTTTCCCATCCAACAGCCCTTCTGCCTTGTCAAACATGGCAACTGGGATGGTTTACCATCATTCATTTTTGACAAATTCACACTGGCTGTTGTATATTAATGTATTATTCTTTCTCTACAAATTATTTGCTTAAAAATTTATTTACTGTGTCTGTTTAACTGACTTTGCAGCTGCCCCTGTCTAAAGATAGGTTTCTGTTGTACACTGGCCAGAGCAGCGTGGCTCAGTGTTGGTGTCCTGCTGACACCCTGCCTACGCAGGGCATTGGCATACACTGCGCTCAGCCCAGACTTAGAGAAATTACCCAAATGAGCAAAGCCACCTTGGCAATAAAGAGACATCTATTCAGTGTTCAGATTTCTAAAATATTGCAAGTTTAGGGGATAACATGGAACTTGGGGAAAAAATGTTCTTGAAGTCATGCTTTGGGATCTGCCAGAAAGAAACTTCAATTTATTCAGAGTTTCTTTTTCTGTCAAAAACAGTAGATCTCTTGGACACCTTAATCTTGGTCATTGTTGCATTTTGACATAACACTTTGTAAATATATCAAGTGGACTGTGGTTTTTTTATTAATTAACATGTCTTAAAGTTTTAGAAATATAAAATGTTAGTTTTTCTTGTCATATCAATAGCTTCTCTGTATTTTTAATTTTGATGTAATAAAATTATAATACTGATTCAATATACTTTGTTGTAGAAGATTTCAGGAGAAAAAAACTGATTAAGAAATTATGACAAAAGAGAAGTCAATCTTATTTTCTGTAGAAGCAAGTGTCTCACCATCTTACTCAACACTATTTTTTCTTGCAATTAGAGAAACCACGAGCACAAATTCAGTAAACAAATGAACTTTCCTATTTTGAAAACATAAGCAATTAAGCCACATCCTTGATCTGCAAAAGGTGCTTAATTCTATCTAACTTCTTCCTATGGTTAGATGCTGGCCTCTCTTCTGTCTTATTTTCCCCCTTTTTAGCCATTAAGCAGTGCTTTCCCTTCCAGTAATGGATTACCACCTCCTAGTCTTTTTGGACAGCTGAACTACTGGTGCCTCTGTTTCACTGAATGAAAGCCTCAGAGGCACCTAAAATGCTTATAGGAATCTACTGGGATGTTGTTCTTGTTTGTTACTTGAATTGAGCACCTAAATATTTGAAATGAAAAATCTGAGATGACCACATGAAAGAGCTATTGCTTGGAGACTCCCTGCCCAGACAGTTATTTTCATGGTGAGGCTTGTGAACTCATAACAGCTTCACCTGAAAAACTAGTGCAGTTTTTTTAGCTCTCCTTTGTATTTGGTACATTTGGTACAACTAAGGGAAAGGTTTGATATAAAATT